ATTATTCCGTTCTGTCTCTTTGATATAAATATTTGTATCTTCACGTACTTATAAAGTATCGTGAGGTATGTTAATGTTTTATGGTGACAAATTTTTGTGTCTATACGAAGTAGCGGGCAATGATATTACTTACAGTTCTTGGTATCTTATCTTTAAGATTTTTTAGGTAGGGGGCGGATAGAAAAATGATTCTGAACAGAATGTTAGCAGATTCCTCGGGCATTTCAACATTTCTGTGTTTTCGCTTGTCTGAGGATTCTGTAGTTACGACAATGAGACGACGTTTTGAATGGGGCCGAATACATTGAAACTCTCGCAAAAGTCAGAAGCTCGTCTGGTTTGGGGAGCGCTCCGTTATCTTGAGTGTTATAGTTCTGCCACTTTACATTAATAGCGAGACATTCAAGTTCTGCCGAGTCTCTTGTGAATAAAGTTCCCTGTCCTTAAACTAGTAGTCTTTAAAGATGGCTGTCATCTGCGATGTTACGTCGTGTGGTCTGGTAGAAGTTTACGTGTTTATTACCCCCGGTCAATATGGCGCTATTCGACGCACTGCTGAACGAATTTACGGAACTTTATATTACATTTTATCCCTTCAAACAGGCTTTATCCATTTGCTGGATGTCCTTTCAAACCTTCGAAGTCGGAGCTCACCCAAATAACATATAAAAATTCAATTGAATAAATTTTTTCTTGGATATTATCCATCGTCTAGTAAATATAAAACGTAAAACGACGTTTCGGAGATGGGACTCTTACTCCGTCTTCAGGTTCCTACACAGTTGGGCCCACTAGATAGAGCTAATACCTATCTCCGGAGATAATTTTTATTCAATTGACTCTTCACCGTCGTCAAGAAGTTTTAGATTTGATATATAAAAGTTCAGTCCGTACCGCAAAGAAAACTTTTCCATTACTAAGATCAGTATTGGTTAATGTTCTTAAAGTAAATAATCGGTGTTTGTTATGAGGATCATATAAAACCCATGAATGCACTGTGTAATTCAGATTGAAGTAGGTGGTACGTACACTTACCAATTGGCATCAAAGAGTTAATTTCATGGGAAAATGAAGAGTGAAACTCATATTTTAAATATTTTTCGGAATCTGTTTAGAGGCGTTTTAAAAGTAGTTCTCGCTCTAAGTTGCCATTAAACTGCAATCACAGTCTCGTAACTTTTTCTTGAAATCAGCTGACAGGCTGAAGTCAGCCTGGATTGTATATCACACGCGGAACGTAGAATTTCATTTTTACAGAGCTTCGTTCTGGCTTTTGTGGTTCGTTTATGACTAGTCAACCGTGAAGCCCACATTTCTGTGGTGGAGATTTCGCTCTGGGCGTAGTAGTTTTTAAGGGATTTTAATTAAAAATATTTTTAGCAGGTGAACTGAACTACAAGGAGCTGAATAAAGTCTGTGTATGATTAAAAATAACAGCGAGAATTGTGAGTTTGAATTTGAAATACGCACCTTTAATAGCTGCGTTGTGAATTTATTAATTGCATGTAAAATATGTTGTAGCGAAACTAATCGCTTATTATAAGGCGTTATAAAAATTTTGTCTCCTTCACACATACGAGGTGCGATCGGAAAGTTTCAAGACTGTGTCAATAGAGGGCGAACCGGATGTAGTACGAGCTTCTGCCGCTAGGGGGTGCGGCCTACATTCATAGTGAATCAGTGTGCCAGCCGGCATCATCGAATTAGCATTTGTTTCTTAGTTACGGGCGTTTTGGTAGTGCATTACACCGACCCTCCTGCGATTTCGGAATGGCGGATTTTCATGAACAAA